TTTTTATATAGGAATTTTTTTATTGGTTGGAAGCCTGTAAACAAATTTTCATTTTACATACAAAAAAAATTTTGGTGGTAAGGTCTATAAAATTTTTGAGAGAAATTTGCTACATTTGTCCAGGGAATTTATTATAGCATGAATTAAAATATTTATATTAGAAAAACAAATGTATAAGAAATATTCATTTTATATATATATTAAAATATATAAATTTATTTATTCAAAAATAAATTTAATGAATAAATTAAAAGCATTATATATTAAATAAATTTTTTGATGAAAAAGAAATTTTTGTAAGAATATAATTAAATTTTCTTTTAAAATTTAAATTTTTTTAAATATAATTTTAAGAAAAGGAAATATATTTGATTTTTAATTATTGTAAAAAATATTTAAAAAAAAATGAAAAAAGAATATATATATATATATATATATATATATATATATATATATATATATATATATATATATATATAAAATAAGAACAAAAAAGTATAAATCTAATGGTCGTAAGTTTATAATAAAAAATTATTCATTCAAAAATTCAACAAGCAATTTATTTTTAAAAAAAATTTTTGTAAATACAAGATGCAAAAAAAAAATAAAAAATATATTTTTCAAAATCACATTTGAGAAATTACAGAAATAATATATAATATATATATAATAAAATAATATTTTTTATTGGTTTAAAAAAATTTTTACCTTTTTAAAAAAAAAATATCAAAAAATATACAAAATAACATATATATATAAATATATATATATATATATATATATATATAAAATGAAATAAATTTTGAAAATGTTTTTGAAAAAGTTTGTCTTATATCTAAATATATATTTATATATATATTTATTTATTTTATGATATTAAAATAAAATTTAAATAAATTTAAATATATTTCAAAAAAAAAATTTGTTTTGTTGAAATATGAAAAAAATTTTTGGTACGATTTTAAAATTTTAAGAAAAAAAATAAAAAAAATATTTTAAAATAATTAAATGTTAATTTGTATTGAAAAAAATTTTATTTGAAATTTTAAAATAAGATAAAAAAAATATTTTTTTTTTATATTATAAAATAATATATATAAAATAAATATAAATAAAAAATATATATATATAAAATATATATAATATAAATATATATATTATATGATTTATATATAATATTATTTTTAAATATCAAATCAGAGATAGAGCTAACATATTGGATTTGGATAGATATTTTTACAATATATGGGTTTACATTTTAAATCGTCAGACAAAAAATGAAATTCAAAAAACGACAAAAATTTACAAAAATAATTTAAAATAACATAATATATTATATATATATATATATATATATATATATATATAAATATATATTTAATATAAATTTTAATATTTATAAACATTTTTTTTTTATTTTTTTTTTTAAAAGAAAAAAAAATTAAAATTTATAATATTAAAAATATATTGAAATAATTTAAAAAAAGTTAAGTCAATTAAAATGAATATTAAAATACATATTAATATTATATATATAAATAAATATATATAATTTTTAAATCAAAAAAAATTTATATATAAATATATATATATATATATATATATATATATATATATATATATATATATATATATAATGAAGAAAAACATATCAACTTTGAATGGCAAATATGATATAATAAATGTATAAATATATATTTATATAAATATTTTATTCTAATTTTTTTTTTGAAGAAATTTTTTAATAGTTTAAAAGTTATTGGAATTTAAAATGTATATTCATATATAATATACTAATATATATATATATATATATATATATATATATATATATATATATATTATATATATGTAAATAATCTGCAAAATTTTATCATCTTATCGCAGTCATATATATATATATATATATATATATAGAGATTTAGATTTTAAATATAGAATATAAAAGAAAAAAGATAACATAATAGAGTAGAATTTAAATAAATATATATATTCATATAATATATTTATATATTAAAAAATAAATTATTAAAATTAAATTTTAAAATTTAAATATATATTTCATTTTATTTTTCATTATTGATCTTTCTATCTATATATTTTTCTATATATATATCTATTTAATATCTATTATATATATATATATGAAATTTTTATATTATCTAAAATACATAATATGTAAAATATTATATATAATTATATATTTGATATTCTTATATATATGTTATCAAATTGTAAATCTATCTATCTATATAAAAAAGGTTATCATATATATCAATATTTATATCATTTTTTATATAAATAAATATATATATATATCTATTCATATATATATATATAAAAATATATATCTCATATAAATCAAAACATATATCTATTATCTATCTATATATATATCTATCTAAATATTTTCTTTTCATTAATTTATATGTTAAATATCTATATATATTATATATATATATATTTATATAAATAATAATTCTTTATTTAAATGAGATCT